CACCAAGGAACTTCAGAAATTTAGTATCAGGTTTCTCTGGGGGGTAGATTTCAGGAGACTCCTGTGACCTACCAGTAGTGTTCCCCCAGCTGATCAGGTAGGTCCTGGCCTCTCTGGGGGGTTGAGCCACGCCTAGTCCTGCGGACGGTGGCTCTGGGTCTGGCTTCTTAGAAGAAGACTTTGGTGCAGGGGTCTCATCTGCGGATCTCAGCTGTTCCTTTTGTTTAGCTAGGAACTGCTGGAACATTTCCTGGAGGTCGGCTTTGGTCAGGGACTCATCAGCGGACTCGCGTTCGGGACATACCTGTGGGCGGCGCTCCTTAAACTTACCTTTGTTCCGACCTGCTTGCCGGTGGTTTTGGTTGGGCCACTTCCTGTCTGATTGTCCAGACCTAGGCAGCCAATCAGCACCCCCCTTCCCCTGTTGAGGAGATTGGGACTGCTTTCGCGGTTTAGCAGGTCTAGGTTTAGTGGGTGGAGCTTCTGTGCCTTCGAGCTCCAAACGCGGCTCGGCGTCGGGAGCTAGGTGCATGACGCGGTGATGTGCGTCAGGCTTTTGGGGCTTTCTGCCGGCTTCCCAAGCCTGTTGAGCGTATCTCCTAATCCCCTGCATTGTTAGTTTTGTCATCCGACAATACATTGAGACTTCGGAGCGAATACACTCGTGCAGGTTGTGAATTAACAGGGATCTGAAGGCAGGGTCTTCCTCGAGCCCAGGGCCGTTTTGACCTTGGAAATAAGCACTTTTGAGTCGGCGATAATACTCTCTGGGGGGTTCGTTCCTCCCGTGTTTGATGGAGAAGGCCCCCATTGTAGCTGACGCAGAGTCTGCATACGTGGCGTATTCATCTCTCAACGCTCGGCAGAGCGAGGAGTACCGATCTCGAATGTCAGATGGTAGAGTTTCCATGAAACCGTGCACCGTTCTAGATGTGGTTTTCCAAATTAGCTTGAGCTTTTCCCTTGAAGAGGGTGCTGGAAGATCAAGCAGACAACGTTCTATCTCCCTGAGATAATCGTCGACGTTGGATTCATTGGTGTTAGGATCAAAGCGTTCTATGTCTTTAGCTAGCGATTCAATTTGACATACACGGAGCCCTGACTCACGGTACGACGCGTCATCCGCTGACTCTGACCCACGGTCTGTCTCAGAGGGCGCTGGATTTCGCTGGTGTGTACTGGGCTCCCAATGTTGACTCATGGGGCCCAAGTCAGGGTCCGGCATGTTGTGGCGGACTGCTGGCACGTCACGTGGGTGTCTTGGGAGGTCCTCCTCCCGGGGCACGTCTGCGTGGTGCAGCCTGCGTCTTTCAACTGGGGCTTCTGCGTAATACGCTCTGTCCGGGTACGGACTGGCGTGGAATGCTTTGTCCTGCAGCTGGTTACCGGCATGCCGAATACCGGAGTAGCTAGGATGGGTAGATGGTTGAGGTGCAGGTTGGGCTTGTGGATAACCCCAGCCGGCACCTTGCACCCTTCGTGGACTGGGGGAGTGGTCTAAATAGAGGTGCTGCTCGGCTGGTCGGCTTCTCATTGATTGAGAAGGCCGTGAAGATGAGGGTGGTGGTCCCTCGCTTCCTCGGGTGGAGGAAACCAATTGCTCTTTGCCGGTCGTCCTGGGCGGACCCAGGTTGGCTTTGCCGGCTTGCTTTCTTACAGGCGTGGGAGAGGACTCTGGCTCAACCTCAGAGTCATGGTGTTTCCCCCCTTCCCACTGTCTGTTCTCATCAGCAGAGGGGAGCGGGGTCTCCTCCCCATCGTTCCCAGACTCGGTGCTGGTTTCGTCGTCCTCCTCATCCTTCAGACTTCCATTTTGCTGTTTTTCAGCTAGCATACTCTGGAGGTTCATGATCTTCTGACCATGTTGGAGTCCTCTCTGATAGAGGATCAAGGCTAACTTAGCCAAGTGAACCTGGATTGGTACTTTACCATCCGGGTTCTCTATTTGATACAGCACAGCTTCTAGCTCGTCGCTACGCTGTTCTTCAGTGAAATCCCTAGAAGGGTAGTCGGGTTCTCGAGCAACCGCGACCAGTTTCGACAATATTTGTCCAGAAAGTAGGCCAGGTTCATATTCGTGGGCCGCAGCGCCACCTGGTTGCTGGGAGTTGGTCAGTTCACTACTCTGTCCCTCCATTTTAACAACCGAACCAAAAATAGCCTAGTAGAGCTTCTGCAGATAGCTCAAAGCTGCACCTTTTGGCAGCAACTGCTAGCTTTGTAGCAGAAAAACACTAAATTAACCTTTGTGCGCACAGGTTTTAGCGTTTTAAGATTGCACGGAATGCCGTGACTAACACTTAAAATACTATTCCTTTCAGTATTTTAGCAAAAGCTGGTGCGTTGCCGTAGCAACGTCTTACAACACTTGGGTGTTAAATATGCTAGTTATTCCTTCAGAATATTAGCAAACAGGGTGTTATCAGTCTTTGAGTGTTGGTTTCAGTGAGTTATAATAGCCACTGTGAGTTAAAGTCGCTAAATTAGCAGTTAATTTTAGCCTAAAAGGGTTAGACAGAATCACTTACACACTGCACCTTTAATGAGGAACTGAATTTTAACCTAAAAGGTTAGCCAGAATTAATTACATGTTGCACCTTTAAGGAAAAACTGAATTTTAACCTAAAAGGTCAACCAGAATTAATTTACACGTTGCACCTTTAAAGCAGCACTGAGTTACTGGTGAGAGTTCGATGCAGCTTCCTGCTCAGCGAAATCAGCACCACTCTGTTGCTGGTTCAAGGCTGAACAACGGATTATTTTTAATCCAAACTAAAGATTTATTTGTTTGTTTGTGTCAGATAAAGAAATCTCTGTGTATCCGCCTCACACGGGGCACCAATTATGTTGGGGTAATTAGGAGCGAGTAATTAGTAATTAATTAATTACTTTTGGATTCTTCAATAAATTCTGTAAATATGGAAATATTTACCGATGTATTAATTAATTAAGATACTCTTACGTATCTACGGGGCACCATTCCCTTTAATTAGAAAGGGAAATGAATCCAAACTCTTATCAGTCTATCAAAAGGGTGGAATCCGTCAGGAGCAGAGACTTTGAATCGACACAAGAAATCTATTGGAGACAAATCTGAATTTTATAACATTTAATTAAACAAGGAGATTAATAATGCAAAACAATTTGATATAATTGGAGATGTGTGTGTGTGTGTGTGAATGAATGCTTCGTCCTCCCAAAGCACTAAAAACATGTACGTGTGTGTGTGTGTGTGAGATGGAGGATGTATTAATGGGGCTTTGTTTTCCCAGGTGTGTGGGGAGTGTGTGTCCTTGGAGTTGTGTGAGCTGTAAGCTGACTTTCCTCTCTCAGATGCAGGCAAAGGAATTAGACTTAGTGACTTAAAAATCACAGTAAAACTTAACTTCAACACTTCAAAAGTTTAGACTCTTAAACAACAAAGGTCATTTGTAAATTATTTAATCTAAACAGAGTCGGCAGCCTGGCCACAGCTTACCGACAATAACAGATTAAATAAATAGTAAACGAAAGATCTTACTTCACGATAGAGATGCGTATTTGATACGGAAGATAGAGAAAAACCGTCTGATAATTTGAAGCAAGTCACGAGGTCGACTGCTGATCTTGGTCTAGAAGAGACGAGAAAAGGTAAAAGTTTAAATGAAATAAAAACTTGCAGGAGATAACAGCTGTCTGAGCGAAGGCAAGGCGTCCCTTGTGAAGTTCGCTGGTCAGATGTGATTTACGCTTCTCCTCCCATGAGTGTCTCTCCACGGGCTGGACACAGAGAGAGCAAAGTTTCTTTTGTTGTGCTGAGTTTGTAACTTACAGCGTGCGTCTCTGTGAGGTTTGGTGGCAGCAGCTTAGGGAGTTGCTGTTCAGCGGTTCTGTGTTCGATCTGCTCCAGCAGCCAGCCTCCCGCTGGCTCACGTTGATCAGAGCAGCAGCAACGAGCGCGTCCTTTACAGCCAGTGAACTGGGCATAAGAACAGTTAAGTTTCGTTTTTCGCTGAAACTTATAGTTTTTGAGCTGGTTGTTGTGGTGACGTCATGACCTTGCTTCCCTATGCAAAGCATCATGGGAAATGAAGTTTCTTGGCGCTGATGTGATTATTTGCTTTTTCAGAGCAATTTAGCACAGTCTTTTGGAGAAAATCACTGCATAGTAATTTCCTCATGAGGGCAGACCCTCAACACCCTGAACAATTAGTTTAATTAAATGCTAATACAGACTTGGAAAGCTTATGCAATGTACTAAGTAACAGACATATTGATGCATTTTATCCAAAGGTTTTTGTTTTAGAGTTGCAAACCTACACTTAAAAGTAGAGATTAGGTTACTTTAACACTCATGAGCTGTACCCACATAACAGCATTCTATTGATTTGAATGGTAATTTAGAGTGAATCCAATAGGACCACAGAGGAATGATATCAGTTAAAGGGTGGGGGCCGCTCAAACATCATATGCACAGATATCAGTATTCAGTTAAAAAAATAAAAAAAAAGGAGAAATGCTAAAGCGAAAGTCAAGTGTGGAGTTGGAAAATAAAGGGAGCTATGTATAGAAAGTTTATCTGTGTCATTATATAGGATGTGGGGATGAACCGAATGTGTGAAAACTCTATATGGAATTTCTCTGAGCTTGCCAGAAATGTTTTGTTTAAATGCAAAAAATAATACTAAATATGTTAATTAATCAAGTAATTCATTTTATATCTCATTCACATGTTAAAACCTTTAATTAATTTATGATGTGCATACATAAAGTCTGCTTTCAAGTTCAAGTAATTCTGTTTAATTTAGCAGAAATCTGAAGCAAAGCATCTTTTTTCCATCAACATGAAATAATTTGTATTGATTCAAATCTCCTCATTTTGGGTGAAGGCAGACTTGTTAAGAGAAAATGTGATTGTCTAAGCTCTTGGAGCGACTAGATTTATGTCATGCTTTTATTTTGACAGGACGTGCCACTGAAAAAGTCCAAAACATTATACGTCATCGAAAAGCACGTGTGGACCTCCGGCTTGCCGTACTCGGCTTCGTCTCCATTGTTTGACAGTAGTAGTTGTTAGCCCTGGGCAGACTTTCCTCCATTAGTTTCCTTTAAGCAGCAGAAATAAATGTTTACTTGGAGGTATCGGCAACTTGTCCGGCGCTTAAACATCATGAGAGAGGAGACGCTTCAGACAGGTAGTTTGATATTCCTTATTCGCTCACTATGTCACTTCCTTTGGCGCTATCGTTAACTTTACTACGGAAGCTTTGCGTTTACACTTATATTTGTGCATTTGTTACAACTTCATAACGTTTATTTAATCTTAACCGTGGTCTCACGTTCACTTAAGCTTACTGTTATTTTCTGACGCATAAAGTTAGTTGATTTTGTTAATGTTTCCATAGTCTCGTGAGCATCTGCGGACCTGTCCTGCATGTGGATGTTCCCACTTGTTTCGTTACACATGTAGGTTTGTCCTAAGTTCTGTTTGGTTGAACGTAGGCTTGAAAATTAACAGTTGGATTAATTGGAAATCACATATTTGTTGTCATTTGTAGCGATGCTGGTAAAGTGACTACTTTTAATGCAAAAATTGCTACTTTTAATTGATTAAAGAAGACATTTGTCCTTTACAGGGCTTTTAAATCAGAGTCAGTGTACATTATGGTGTGATCTTGTCATATATTTCTGAATTATTGTGTTATATCATTTAATTTGAAGTAGAAAGTTTATAGTCAAACCATAAAGTGTCATATGAACAGGGGCGGATTTAGCAATTTGGGGGCCCAAGGTGAACACAGACATGGGGCCCCTTACACTAAATTTTCAACAATCTTACCTTTAACTGGATTTGCGAAACTTTCCCCTCTTCTGACATGAGTTATTTTCCCTTTTTATTAATCCTCCTCTTTTTTTCCTGTATTTCCCTCCCTTTGAGTGCTTTCAATATTTGCTCTGCTTTCTTTTTTCTGTCAGCGCTCCATTTTGGTCTGTTTTGCTCCCTTTAAACATTTTCCATTGTCTTTTCTTTCTGCTTCCTTTTGATGTTTACATCAGAAAACGACGTCACTTTCAGAAGTGAAGATAAAAGCTTTTATGAAGCATGCTGCTTCTTTCTCTTATTGGAGCCAGATAACTTCATGTCATGCTTAATGTTTTGACTATCGCTTTGAGTTTGTTACGAATGCTCCCGCCTCTCTTCTTATTCTTATTTGTGGTCTTATGGCACTTGGCAAACAACAATTTGGTGCATTACTGCCACCAACTGGATTGGAGTGGAATGACTACCAATCACTTCCTGTTTGTGCATCGCAGTCTTAATAACCCTCTTATGACCATAATTATAACAGGGCCGCCTGGTATTTTTTTTAATCTCATGGCTGTAAAATTGTAATAAAAAGTGCAAAGTGTGTGTAACTCTTCTCCTTTTTTCAGAACAACCTCAGCTTTCAGTGTATGGTTTGTATTTCCAAACCACTATAACATTTCACGAAAAGAAACGTGAAGCCACTTCTCCTCCAGCTTCACTGGCTGCCAGTCAACTTTAGGGTTCATTTCTTAATCCTGGTTCTGGTCTATAGGGCCTTACATGGACAAGCACCATCTTACATTGGTGATCTTCTTAGTCCCTACACCCCCAGCAGGTCCCTGAGGTCCAGTGATCAAAGCCTACTGGTTGGGCAGCACACCAGGCTAAAGACCAAAGGTGACAGATCATCTGCTGCTGTGGCCCCCAGACTCTGGAACTCTCTTCCCCTGAGCCTGAGATCAGTGGACTCAGTGGTCTCCTTTAAAAAACAGCTGAAGACTCACTTGTTCAAGCTGGCTTTTGTATGACCTTCTTCACCACTCTCTCTTTATTCTGCTCTCCCCACCTATTCCACCTTCCTCACTGATTTCCCTCTTTCCTATTCACTCTCTCTTTCTTAACAATTTTTCTTTTAAATCCCAATTGCCTATTTTTGCTCATTTTAAATATATTTTTAAACATTTTCTAAATGCTTTTTTATATTTATATTTTAGTTTTTGTGAAGCGCCTCGTGATTTTTATCTTGAGAGGCGCTATAGAAATGATATTTTCTTCTTCTTCTTCTATTTAGAATGTATTTCTATTACAGCCTTTAAAAAATCAGCTTAAAAGTGAAAAAAGCAAAAAACGGATTTGAATTTTTTACAGTTATTACTGAACAGAAACTTCAAAATGACTGGGCAAACAATTTAAACTTTGAACTGAAATGCATCCATTCTTAAAAAACTTTGAACCTTGGTGTCTTGTAGCAGTTTTCAAGACTTTATTTTTGTAAACTTTCAGACGTTTTTATTTGATGTGGTAGACCTTGAAGCAGCTTCTCTCCAGCTGCAGGCAGAGTCCTGCACACCTCACACCGCCATGGGGTGCTTCTCTGGCACACCGTGTACTGCTATACCAAAAACTTTTGTTTTAGCAAAAATAATTATTTATTGTAAAAAGATAAATAATGCTGGAATGATGCTGAATCTTACAATTAGCAAATAGCTGAGGGTTGTTCAAATAGAAAAATAAAAAATAAAGACTGAACAAACATTCATACCCTGGTTCACCGGAGATCTGTCCTTCTTCATGGTCACTGTCTTCAGATATAAGCCTTCTGGGACACCTAATAGATCATGTTGATTTTCTTTGAGGCATTTCCATAATTTCATGCTGGCTTTTTATGCTAATTAGCTTCCCCGTTCCGTTATCCGCTTTCACCGCGGCGCTGCGCTCCGTTTCAATCAGGCTGTTCAGCAGGATTTCCCCTCGTAGCGATATTTTCCCTAACTCTGATTGCTTCATGTTATAGATCGTTGGAAAGCTGCTTTTATGTACTTTTAGGAACCGTTAGAATTTCCTGGATTTGATCAGCCATTCAAAAGTTATAAAACGGAGCATTTTGGATGACAAACTCAGCACATCTCTGAATCTTTGTTGTGATTTGGTGCGCTGAAGACAGGGAATCCCGGTGGCTACCATAATGTATTGTATATGCACGGAAAGCCCCATTTTTAATCTTTTCGGCACTTTGGGAATTTTAATGATATCTTGAACGGTTCAGGAATTATGGTAATGAGAAATGCGCATGTCCAATCCCGTCTGCGGCCACAGGTTGGTAATAAGAATATTGTGGCATTAACAGAGGGGTGCTGGCGGTCAGGGATAGGGGGCCCCCCAACACAAGGGGGCCCCAGGCGGCCGCCTACCTATGCCTAATGGTAAAACCGCCTCTGCATATAAACATGAAAATATGTTCATCACTGCCTTTGCCACACACACACACACACACACACACACACACACACACACACACACACACACACACACACACACACACACACACACACACACACACAGACACACACAGACACACACACACATATATGAATTATCTATAATTGGCTGTAGTTTATTATCATCTATGCATGTGACTGAGCACTGTTTTGAGGTGATAAAAAATTGGCTTGATCAGTGTGCAGAATTAGGCACACTGTATGGCGCTGGCTATTTCTCAGTGACAAAAGTAAAAGTAAAAGAAGATCGTTAGGATCCCACAACTTGTGTAGAAGAGTAGTGCATCCTAAGATAATGATCAAAGCCTTCATATAACAAGGTAGTGGTTTGGTGGTAATGGCAGAGTTGAGTTTATATCAAAGTTGAATTTCTCAGTGTTTCCCTTGTGGAGAATACCAACTTAGATTGGCCATAGCAAGCCCACGTCTCCTCCCTTTACAGACGGCTCATGGGTCCTCAGAAGAACGAAAAAAATTAATTCAAGTCAATGGGACTAAAAGAGCTACTTTCTAATCAGCTGTGCCTTACGCTGTGACTCACACATATGTTGTACTGCAACTTAAATGAAAAGTAATGATGTGTGTTTGACCATGCCCGTCACGTACTTTGAGATTTATCAGCTTGTACAAATTCGTAATTCCTATGAATCAGACCACACCACAGAATCTCCTGTCCCCTAGCATAGCTGCTACTTACCACATGACAAGTGTTATGGTGGTTCTTTCCTCCTGGAAGATTCAAAACTCACAGAACTTACAGCCATTTTTCCTTTTCTCTCTGTTTCTTGTTCCATGATGTCAGTTAGATGATGCACATTTGTAGTCCTGGATGTGTTTTCACACAAAACCTAAAATATCTTTTGCCCTTGTTTGAAAATAAGCGCTTTCTTGGCATCAGAATTAGAGGCCGACCGATATAGATTTTTTTAAAGGTCGATGCGTATACAGATTTTTAACTATTTTTGTTGCAGATGGCCGATATCTAAAGCCGATTACTAAGGCTGATATATAAGCATTTTAGCAGCACATTGATTGTGAAAGACAACTGAACACTCACTGTGCGCAATATAAAATAAATAAAATAAATTACACATCTCTTAATATTTATTGAACTTCAAGTATAAAACAAACTCAAAACATTAAAAAAATGGTGTGTTGGGGTCCTTCAGGTCCTTTCTTCCATCTAGTAGTGGCGGCAGTTGGCCACAGAGGAACCAGATGTTTTTTTTTTTCATAAACTTTTAAAACTAATTTGGGCCGATGGCCGATATAGAAAAAATTTTTAAATATCGGCCCAATATATCGGTCGGCCTCTAATCATAATGGGTCTTTAAAATTCAATACATCACATGTGAAATCCATGGCACATAACAAATGGGATTAGAAAAAAGTTATTTAAACCCCATCAACATGCATTCATTTTTTCTTTCTTTCGGGGACCCGTGGTCTGAAAGTAGATGGGCATGACTTAGGCTCCCTATAGGAAGATTTTATTATGGATTCTTTTACATTTTCATATTCCTCTCACTCTTTGGTCCCTGTTTGACTATTGGTTAATTTTCTATCTTCACTGTTTTGGTTTAACTTTATATGCAGATACATAGACATGCAACCACACTTAATTATAGAGCTGCAAGTCTGCTAGCACACAACCTGATTTAATTCAAAGTCTCTTGGTCTCCTTTCTATTTAAAATTGATTTTCAGTTCAAAGTCTTAATTGAAACCAAACAGATAAAATACAAAAACTAATCAGAGAAAGTGGCAACACAAATCCTCTGTTTTTGTCTTCATAATCACCCACATGGAGGATTTATTATGCTGTGTATGACTTTGAAACTTCACTGGTATTCACACACACACGCACGCACGCACGCACACCTGTGAAG